AGCATCTATGAAGAAAAATCAGAGTTAACATTTCGGGTCCAGAGACTCTCGCTCAGTTCTGAGCAAGGGTTACCGGACCCGAAACATTAACTCTGATTTCTCTCCATGTGTCAAGTTCCCTGAGAATCTTATACACTTCAATAAGGTCTCCTCTAATTCTTCTAAACTCCAATGAGTGCCAGCCCAACCTAGTTAACCTCACCTCATAACAAAATCTCATCTTACCCAGAATCGACCTCATGAATGTTCTCTGGAATCCTTAGATAAAGGGACCAAAATAGTTCACAATATTCCAGCTGTGCTCTGACGAGTGCCTTGGGTAGTTTCCACAAAACTCCCTACTTTTGGATTCCATTCCATTTGAAATAAAAGCCAACATTCCATTTGCCTTCCCTGTCACTCACTGAACTTGGATGCTAATTTTTTTTGTGATTCATGCATAAGGACTCCCAAATCCTTCTGTCCTGCAGTCTTTCCTCATTAAATAATATTCAGCTCCTCTATTCTTCCCGCCAAAGCGATTAACTATCATCCTACATTTTCTCACATTATATTCCATGTGCCAAGTTTTTCCCAACTTAGTTAACTTGCTCATATCCCTCTGTAGGCTCTTTATGCCACCTTCACTACTCATCATTCCACCTAGTTTTCTGTCATCCACAAAACTGTTGATAGTTCATTCACTTCTGTCATCCATGTCATTAATATATTATCGTAAATAATTATGGCTCCAGCACTGATCTCTGTGCGCTTCACTTGTTAGAGCTTGCAATCCTGAAAATGCCCCTATTATCTCAACTCTCTGTTTTCCATTAGTTCGATCAACCATGCTGCTTTAGAATCTCCAACACCATGTTCTTATCTTACTAGGTAGCCTTATGTGCAGTGCCTTATCAATCACCTTTGGAAATCAAAAAAATATTCCATCTACAGCTTTCCCTTTTTCGATCCTGCTTGTTACCTTCTTAAGGAACTGTACTAAATTTGTCAGGCACGATTTCCCTTTCATGAAGCCATCCTGACTGTGCTCGTGTTATGAATTTTTGAATACTCTGCTGTTACATTCTTTAAACTAGACTCTAACATTTCCCAGTGACAAACGTTAAGTAACTGACCTATAGGACTGACTGCTTTTGATGCCCTTCCCTTTGTGAAGAAGTATGCCACCAACGCTGGAATTAAGTTTGGTATGTTTTAATATTATCTCCATCAAATAACGATAAAATAGAATAGTTTGGAGAGGGTAACGTGACCTGTGCTAAAACTTCAAACCCACATGTCCTGATTGTGATAGTGCCAGAAACGCAAGTGAAAATGATTAGAAGGAAGGTGCAAGTTGTAATACTTAAATAGAAGGTAGATGGTTTTGTTATGTACAAATCCACTGACTCTAAGAGACAGCCAGGTTGAAATATTTGAAAAGACCACGGCAGCTAGTGCTTTATCAACCAGAAGAAAAGAACTGTTTTTGGGTTAATTACCAAACAGAATGCGAGTGAGGACAGATTGATCCTGTTTGAAGGAATAAGGCTAATGGAGAATTAATGAGCAAGGAGTCACAAGAGGGTGCTTGGACTTCATTTGAAAAGTACTCTGGAAGTCTCACCGTGGTGGGAGAAAGATCCTATCAAGGCTGAGAGAAGACTGGCAATTTATAAACAAGACTATATTTCTTCTGAGTGTGGTGTGATGTATAAATGTGGTGTTTGTTTGTATTAAGAACTTAATGGGATTGCTTTTTTCCTGCAGTATCGTTTCTTAGTTGTCTATTATTTAATCGTTTAATCAACATTGATTTAGTTTACCTGTCTCAGTAAAAGTCATATAATGTAATATCCTGTCGTGGTGAATCTTTATGTTGGTCACTGGGAAAGTTGCATTTGTTTTAATGTCATCAGTCTTTGTGGAGATGGTGGCAATATCATAGAATCTCTACCTGTGTGGAAGTAGGCCATTTGGCCCATTGAGTCTGCACCAACTCTCCAAAGAGCATCCTACGCAGACACACCTCCACCTACCCTATTCCTGAAACCCAGTATTTCCTATGGCTAATCCACCGAGCCTGCACATCCCAAGACAGTATGGGCAATTTAGCATGGCCAATCCACCTAACCTGTACTTCTTTGGAAACCAGAGTGCCTGGAGGAAACCCACACAGACACAGGGAGAATGTGCAAACTCCACATAGACAGTTGCCTAAGGGTAGAATCAAACCCGGGTTCCTAGCGCTGTGAGGCAGCAGTGCTATAGACTGAGCTAACATGCTGCCCAATATGTTAACATTGTGTGAGTCAATGCTGTCTGGATTCAGTAATGTCAATGTTCTCCCTAATGCCTTCCCATCTATCATCTTTCAAAAGAAAGGACACTGACTGACATTACTCCATTCTTCAACCTTGTTAACTAACAGAAAGAAAAGAGTGGGGACAAATGGGCATTTTTCTCATTGGCAGTCAGTGGTGAGTGGTGTGCCTCAGGCGTCAGTGTTGGGACTGCAATTGTTTACAATTTACACAGATGGTTCAGGGTTGGGAAGCAAGTGTAGTGTGTCAAAGGTCGCAAACCTCTCACATCTCCATGTCTGTTTACACTCAAGGTGAAATTCAGATCTATTATCCTAACATTGCAGGCCGCAATCATCCATCACCCCTATGCTCGCCAATCTACACTGACTCCAGCAACTACTCAAAATTAAAATTCTTATTCTGGTGTTGAAATGCCTCCATGGCTTCCCATCTCCCTATGCCTATATCCTCATGTAGTCCTGCTACCCTTTGAAATCTTTACAACCCTCTTATGCTGGCCTTTTGCACATCAACTTTCACCACCTAACCATCAGCAATCATTCCATCAGCTCCACAGGCCCAGAATTCCAGACTTCCTTCACTTCACAACTCTTTGCTCTCCTTTAAGATGTACTTCTGAAGTTTGTTTGAAAACACCCCTGAAATCCTATCATCTTATATTTCCCTACATTAAAGACACTGTGTATATACAAGTCACTGCTGTTGCTGAATGGCAGGGATTTTATATTCATGGCCAAGTTAGTGCGAGTGGAGGTGCACTGCAGGCCAATTTTCTATTCCATCTGCAGCTCCTTAATGAAGATTTTGCAAATACCATTAAATGTCATCCAAGCCATAATAATGAAGTCGAAGAGATCTTATCCGACTAAATATGGCAGTGGGGAATGCTGTTGATGTAAGTGTCCTTTAGGATGTAGCTTAATACACTGACGTAGGGGTCTGGTATCTCTAAGCCAAACACTATGTGTGGTTCTAGGGGAGGTCAGGTACTTGAACAAAGCCTTTTAGGCCAGGGATCAGCAACAATCAGTTGGAGAAACACTAAGAATTTTGCACACTGTAATAGCTCATATTAATTTACAACAACACAGAATCAGATACTCCAGTCATTATGTTGGTGTTTATATTCCACCTGAGCCTCCCATTAACTTCATGCTATCTCTTCAATGTACATTTCTGTTCTTTTCTGCCTTATGTGCTGACCTGACATCCGCAAAAATGCTAGTTACCACGTGGAGTGATCACCACATTCCAATGACTCTCTGTCTAAAAGGAATCTCCTGGATTCCTTTTTGGATATACGTTTATGACATTCGTTTTGGATTCTTGATCAAAAATTACCTGTACATATATAATGCCTTGCGTTACAAAAGGATATTCCCAAGCACTTTATAGCCAATAAAGTACCTCTGAGTGTATTCAATCTTGTGATGCAAAAAATGCAGCCAACTGAACACAGTATGTGCTGAGAAGCAGCAATGTGATAATGACCAGATACAGGTATTTCTCCTAAAAGGCAATAGTTGCATTTTTGTGTGACCTCACATTATAGATAATCGCCATAGAAAATCACGTTATAGGGAAATCACTATACATGTACGTAGGAATGTTTGTGTTATCCAAACAGTGTCCACTATTCATCAATCACGTTACAGCCAATTCGCATTAATGAAACACGTGTTATAGCAGAACTACCTGTCATCTGTTTTTCTGGGAGTGAATAATGGATGAATATTAGCCAGGGCACCAGAAATAATCATCTCTAGTCTTCCTTGACACTATGTGATGAGCTGCTTTACAACTAACTGAGAGGACAGACTCAATGTCTATTTCACATCTCATCTGAAAGACTTCACCTTCAACAGTGCAGCTGCCCCTCAGTACTATACTGAATGTATTATATTTGTGTTCAAACTCTGAAGTCAGATATGAATGAATAGTCATCCGACTCAGGGGCATAAGTGCTACCAAGTGGCCCATGATTGACACAGTGGAAGTAGCTTCTTTATGTCTACCCTATCGATCTTCTTCATTATTTTTAAAATGTTTATCAGGTCAGCTCTCGGCCTTTTCTTTTGTCTCTTGGTATAGGAATGGGCTTATTCATCCTACGCAGACTGCTGTAGACATGGAGTAGAATGCCAACATTGTGATAAATAGTAAAGTTCCAAATGACCAAGCTGGATCTTAGGGAGTCTCTCAGCATCTGGTGAAGGAGAAACTGCAAGCTACAAATAGCATTGGTTTTATAGTTTTGACACCGAATGAGAGAAAAGCAAATTGAAGAGAGATTGGAGTCTAAAGCCAATTAAAAGTTTATTTGGTCCTTGCTGTAGGCAAAACATGAACAGATTTAGAGAATATTTCTCCTGAACTGCCAGCAATTGACTATTCTCTACAATTCATGTACCAGTTGCTAGAAATATTTAAGCAGTGGTTTATACACTTTCTTCTATTTCACAGCTTTATGGAACAGCACGTACAACTACAGGCTGGAGGCAATTGCAAGTGAAGTTACAAAATGATACTAATTTGCAAGAGAAAAATTAATTGAATTTCTTGGTTTATCTGATTGCACAGATTGTTGCGGGGTTGGGATGGGGATGGCATTGAGGAAAATGTCTTATTACAATCAAAGCACTCCTTCAGAAGAGACTGAACTAGTCTTACGTGCTTTTCTTCTCTGATCCTCACCTCTGGTTTCCAAGGCAAACATATCTCAGTCAAGTTCAAAGGCTGCCGGAATCCTCTTTGATAACCATCAGGCTCACCTTGTGAAGGTCTACCATATTTGTTTGGTGTGTCCAACTGTCAAATAAAACAGAATATTATTGATCACAAAAGAGCAAACATGCAACAAGTTGTACTTTCAGATGCAGGTAGGTAGTAGTCAAATTGTGCCACTTCTTAAAAATGTTTCTTCTTTCACGGAATTTAGGTGCCCTTTGGTAACGCCAGCATTTATTGTCTGGTTATTTAAACCAGTTTGCTGGTTATTTAAGTCACTGGTTGCTTCCACTTCTGGGCAATTTTGGAGAGATAGGTATCTGAAGCCTTTCACTTTAAAAGTTATTTCCTCCTAGTTTTTTTTTTGAACAGAAGTTGTAAGGCAGAGGTTCAGAACTGACTATTGAACACCACTTGAGTAGGTAGCTTGGGAGGCCTTGAGTTTTTGTTTAATGCAGCCTGAATGGGTGCGGCCAGCTCTCACAGATTAGGATTTCTGGGTTTTGGTTTTACAATGGTATCAGAAGCTATTGGGGTCTCAACAGAATTGGAAGTTTCAGTGAATGTGTCCTGGCTGCTACTCTCTCTGAATTTTCTCGATGTTTTTTTCATCCTGGATTGGAGAATTGCATGTGAGAATCTGTGAATGAATTTTCCTTTTTTTGCCACGGTTTGTGTTTATGAGATGTTACTATAGGAACAGTTAATTATTAATGGGTGCTGCATCTATCATCCCTGTTAAGTTTCCAATCTGCTAAGTTATTCTAAATTCCTCTGTTTTTGCTTATATTTTAACCAATAAATAAATTGTGTTTTGCTTAACATAGAGTAGTTTGACCAATTGTACTGCATCTGAGACACTTTATATTTGCCTTTACAGAAAAAGTTAGGGTCTAGTCTGCCTTAAAATATTTTGAGGGGGTCTGATCTGGTCTGTAACAAACCCAAGGTATGCAGATTAAACAAGGTAAGAGTGTTTGGATTCGTCTGGATAATCAGTGTTGACTTTTGGAGAGGTAAGGTCCCACTGTTGATCTGGTCCCATGACACAGTGGAGGAGATAAGCCGCCCCTTGGTGGAGGATAAGGCACCCTTTTTGGAAGATCTGGTGTCCTTCCTTATTGATTAAAGTAAAAATGCTTGTGCATAAAAATAGATAAATCCATTGGGACTGTCAGCTGCCAAAGAACTTCCAAAGCTGTCAGGAGGGACCATTTAATATGTGAATGCATTAAATGGACTGGAGCCTGTTTAATATTTGAACAGAAAGTATCTGGAGAATTTAAAACAAAACCTTGCTTTTTATTGCCATGTCTCTATTGACATGAGCCACCTTGTGACACAGAGACAGACAGTCGAACCAAATCAGCTTTTCTACCCTTGTATTCACAACACAGTAAAATTCAAATCTTCAGAGACCCTCAATAGTTACTCCAATGTTTCCTAACCAGACTTTTGAATAACCTGTCCCAGACTTTGTGAATAATTAATTCCAGGCACTGGTTCTGTGTCTTAACTATTTATTAAATATATAGTAACTTTAACAGATGAAAATTAAACAAGGTAATACGATTAATGTCAATACTTTAAACCCAAAGTGCTTATGTCCAGCTCCCCATTCACATAAAAGTCAAAGAGACAAACACCGTTATAGAGTCACAGAGTCATACAGCACAGCATGAAAACAGACGCTCTGGTCCAACCATAATCCTAAACTAAACTGCCTGCATTGGCCCATATCCCTCCAAACCTTTCTTATTCAAGTATTTATCCAAATGTCTTTTAAATGTTATAACTGTACCCACATCCACCACTTTCTCTGGCAGTTCATGGCACACACGAACCACCCTGTGTAAAAAAAATTGCCCCTCATGTCTTTTTAAAGCCCTTTTCCGTTCATCTTAAAAATATGCCCCCTAATCTTGAAATCTCCCACCCTAGGGAAAAGATACCTGCCATTCATCTTATCAACCCCTCAACCTCCTAAACTTCAGGATGAAAAGGTCCCACCTATCTAGCCTTTCCCTAAAACTCAACCCAGCATTCCCGGCAACATCCTGGTAAATTTCTTCTAAACCTTTATGGAATAAATGTTATGGAATAGAAAGAAAAACTGGCCAGGTTAGTTATTTGGTTTTCACCAATGCATTGTTTCACAGGCATTAATGGTGACTCCTTGGTTGCTTTCTGTACACATCAATCATCATGGTCATGTTTTCAGTTCATGCAGCTACAAGTAGTAACACTTATTATCTCAGCTTTCTCTTCTTTGGTTTTCCAATAGCTGGTAAGGGAGCTAGGCAGGGAGCAGTCAAAATCTTCACGTTGTGTCCATAGCAGCCAAACCCATCTCCCAGAAGATACAGTTCAGAAAAACAACTTCAACTTTGATAATCCCCTGATACACTTTTCCCGAGGTGTCAACTACCATTCAGCATCTGTCATCTCCCAGACTTGCCAGAACCAATTCTCAGGTACTGACTTCTTAACTAGCAATGTTATGCTAAGTGCCTAATCTTCCTGAGTTTGTGGTGTCTGTAGCAAACCTCCTGATCAAGAATCACCCTGCAATTAACTTCCTGGCCTGACCTCACAAACCTTTTGGGCTGTTCTTTTCTCTTTATCCCAGCAGTTTCCAAAGTTCAAAAGTTGTTTTCAGCTCACAATTCCCAGTTCACAGCTCCAAACAAAAAGTAATAGTCAAAAGAAAAATAATGAACCATCCGTGAGGATTCTGACACTCCTTTACTAGATTGCACAATTGACTTTATGAGGGTCCGTTATCATAATGGGTTGGCATCTATTTCACAGTTTGATTGAAAAGTGGTTTCTGATGCATGACTATGACTACAACACTTCTTGCATTTGAGTTAAACTTTCTTTTGTTAAATAAGATTTTATTGAGGTGAAGAAATTCAAATGTAAACATTGCGAAGAGACATAAAATTGAAACTTGATACAATTTTATCTTGAACTCATTGGGAATGACATACAACAAACCAAATTCAGAATGTGTTCACCAGTTTCTCATATTGTATAAATTGGTGTTCCCTTTGCAAGTGTAATTTCTTGTGTGTCAGTCTTGATGAGTGCAAGATGAAAAACCTCAACATTGTGGTTCTTTTCAACAACATTTAAGTTCTTTATTTATTCCTATACTATTAGTTCTATACTTAAAACAATTTAAACTTAATGCAGAGATAACAAGGTGTAGAGCTGGATGAACACAAGCAGCATCAGAGGAGCAGGAAAGCTGACGTTTCGGGTCTAGACCCTTCTTCAGAAACTTATGCATTTGTTTTAGTGAATGGGAATGAGTTTTGCATTTGTGCCCCTGCTAGGAGGGGGTGCCAAGCCGACAAAGATCCCACCCACAAAAGACAGCATGTCTGGGTGTCAAAGCTAGCAGCCTGTCCACCATTTGGAAATAGCTAAAGGTCAACGAGCTTATTAAAGACTCAATTAACCATATATCATACTGCCCACAACATGATACAATTGATGTGGACATACGGGTGGGACCAGGCAGCCAACTCTTTTAAAAAGAGTAAAATATCAGGAATGAAGAGGTAGGTGTTATGCCTGGAAGGTGCACCCCATATAAAATAGCACTATCCCTTCCTTAGGTAGTACTAGACCAAGCAACCCAACCTTTCACATCTCACTCCTCTAAGAGTGAGTCCTGGCAGGACTCACCATAGAACCCTGGCATTGGCAGGGCTGCTGGAGATACCAGCCATTCAGATTAGTGAGCACTTTCGTCCAGCGAGGGGCAGAAGTCCAACAGAATTTCCTTTAGGCCAGCCGGACTGCTTAATGGCTATGAGTGGGTGACTATTGCCAACTTTTCTTCTGGGTTGGAAAAGGGGGAGGTGATGACCTAGTGTATTATCACTCGACTATTAATCCAAAGACCCAGGTAATGTTCTGGGTTCAAATCCCAGGTGGAACTTGTATTCAATAAAAATCTGGCATGATAACCATTGTTGATTGTCTGGAAAAACTACTGTCCTTTAGAGAAGGAAACTGTCAGCCTTATCTGGTCTGGCCTACATGTGACTCCAGATCCACAGCAACGTGGTTGACTCTCAACTGCTCTCTCTGGGGCAATTCATAGAATCTTGACAGTGTGGAAGCAGACCATTCAGCCCACAGGTCCACACTGACTCTCCGAACAGCATCCCACCCAGACCCACCCCCTTACTCTGTCCCTGTAACCCCGCATTTCCCACAGCTAATCCACCTAACCTGCACATCTTTGGACTGTGGGAGGAAACTGGAGCACCCGGAGGAAACCCACGCAGACTCCACACAGACAGTCACCTGAAGCTGGAATTGAACCCAGATGCCTGGCGCTGCGAGGCAGCCACTGTACCTGCATTTCGGATGGGCAATGAACGCTGGCCCAGCCAGTGACTCCCACATCCTGCGAATGAATTTAAAAAAACAGGTGCCCACTCCCAATGTGAAATTTCCACTCTGCAATCCATCTATTCTGATTGATAGATTTTCTTTTTCTCTCGCCGGTGTATGGGTCCAGACATTGCTAGAGGGGGGCCTAGAGTTGTCATCGAGTGGACAGAATTTGCGCATGGGCTGACGCCATTAAAATGTAGGAGCAGGAAATGATTGTTCCTCATAGACTGGAATTTACAAATGCAAACCCCCAGTAATACAGATACAGCGAAAGACCATACGGATGAGTTTAAGGAGAGAGATATGCCTCCTTCAGAGGAAGCTGAGCTCATGCCTGTAGACAATGAGACAAGAGGCAGCTTGTAAATGAAGAAATGTACAGGATCAAGGACAAATCATTAGGAGATATTGATACCACAAATGCATTGCATCATTTTGAGGATTCAAATAAAAAGTTATTTGCATTTCATTTTTTTCACCATCTATGACTCAACAAACTTTTCAAATTCTCAATCACAAAGCCTATCATTGCCACGTGAGCTGAAAGGAAAGCTGTCCAGAACACCCAGAGAATGGGCAATGGTGAAATTAAATATCTTGAAGGATAAAGTCATTGTAACAATGCAAACAAAAAGTACAGTGAGCGTTTGAAAGCACATTTCATC